CGCATACATTTGAACGTTTTTATCCAGAAATGTTTTTCCATTGTCTGAAACGATAAGTTTACTTAGTCCTCTCCGAGCTGTAAAACGTTTAAGCGCGCGAATGAATGTTTCTGCGAAAAGATCTGGAACTAACTCAAGGTGTATTGCTCGCGTATTTGCACAACTGAATAATGCAATGTAGCATTTATTCATACGATCAGTTTTGGTGTAGATATCCTTTACATATAAAGGACCTGCAAAATCGACTGCAACGTTGGTAAATGCTGCATCTTCTGATACGCGATATGCAGGTAACGGTGGCGCATTTGGTGTTTCGTATGGTTTTCCATGTATAGCTTTACATCTGGAACATTTCGCAATTAAGGATTTTACAATCTGACGACCTTTCGTAATCCAGTAATTGGATCGTACTTGCGCAAGTGTTTCATTGACTCCATTGTGTTTGACTGTTAAATGGCTATGCCAGATAACCAATTTTGTAAAATGATGCTGACGTGGCAATAATACGGGGTGTTTACTGTTATACGAAATCGATGCATTTTGAAGTCTACCCCCTACTCTGATTATTCCTTCTTTGTCGACAAAACATCCGAGGTTATTTCTAATTTCTTTATCATTTCCAGATAGATCAAAGACCTTTTGCACTTCTAAGTGCCACATGATTTTCGCTTCGTTGACTTTGGACAAAAAGTCGTCACTTATGTCTGTTTGTAAATTTTTAACCTTTCCTTTTAAAATTGCCACGAATTTCAATACGAGCGCAGTTACCCGTATTAAGCGAATGAAGCTACTGTAATTTACGCATGGAATGATTTTGTTCAAATTTAGCTGATCGTTATTTTCAGTTACGACAACGTTTGTATTAATTTCGATTTGCTGCGAGGGCGCGATTTCATTTACAGGCCAAAATTCCGAGTCGTTTTCCAAAAACTGTGGCCCGTTCCACCAAAACTCGTTTGATTGCATTTTAGAACAATCAATGCCTCTTGAAGCGATATCAGCTGGATTGTTAGACGTTGGACAATATCGCCAATTTTTCTTTTCGGTTAAATCGCAAATTTCATGCACTCGATTTCTTACAAATACTTGTTTGTGTTCTTTGTTACCTAAAACCCAGTGAAGGACAACCTGTGAATCTGTCCAACAAAAGATTGATTCTAAGTTAATTGTGCTAATCAAGGCATTGTGGACTGACTTTATAAGACGCGAAAGTGTTACTGCGGCCATTAGTTCAAGTCGCGGTATTGTTTCACCTTTCATAGGTGCTACTTTGGTTTTCGCACAAATTAATCGGCTTATTACTAGTTTAGATGATGATTCGACGCGAAGGTATACACAAGCCCCATATGCATATTGACTTGCATCAGAAAAGCCGTGTAGTTGAATCGAAATAGCGTCATTACTGATAATATCTCCCATTAGGCTTCGTGGAAATTCAATTAGTGTTGTGTTTGCAATGTTGTTTACGATTTTGAGCCAATTATTGCAAATGTCGTCAGGGAGTTTTTCATCCCAGGCTGTTTTCAATTTGCACAATTGCTGAAATATCATTTTAAGCGGAAGAATTACCGGCGAAAGTACTCCGAGCGGATCAAAGAACCGCGCGGTAGTTCTTAAAATATTGCGCTTGGTTACTTCAACATTACTGCTAGCGGCTTCGATAAACTCCAAAAAGTCAAACACAAATTTGTCGTTATTTCTGTTCCAAGGCATTCCTAGGATTTTAGATTCGGTACCATTGCATACTGTATTAGAGATCGATTTTGTGAAGGTTTCATCATCGTCGAAAATGACATTACTTTCCTTCGAATTTGCGGTTTTACTATGCATATTTTCAGCTAGTTCAATGCGTTCAATAAGCGAATCACTGTTAGAGGCCCATTTCCTCATATTAAACCCTCCAGAAGCAAAACAAAGTTTGAGTTTACGATAAAGTTCGAAACTTTCCTCCTCAGTATCTAATGAAAACGCAAAATCGTCGATATATAGAGATTTTTCGACGGTTTGCACAAATTCGTTATCTGACTGTCGATAGTTTTCAAGGTGGTGACGTACAGTAGCATTAAGAACATACGGCGAACTCGTAAGTCCAAAAACTAAACGTGAAAACCTCAATGTTGCAAGCTCAGGATCTTTTTCAAAAACGTTATCGTACCACAAGAATCGGAGAAAATTCCTGTCGTTTTCTTGTATAATGATATTCAAAAATGCCTTTTCTAAGTCACCAATTAACGCTATTCGTTTAGCTCTGAGTCTCAAAAGTACATCAAAAATGAGAGGTACCAGATTTGGGCCTGGTTCTAAGCAATCGTTTAAACTTACTTCGCCGTTTTGTTTAGAGCTTGCGTCGTAAACGACTCGAAGTTTTGTAGTTTGCCGCTCTTCTCGAACTACTTCCCTGTGAGGATTATAATACACAGATCCAACAGGAGCCGAGCATAACTCCGTATCCTCTACCTTTTCTACAACACCGGAATTTAGTTGTTCAGAAATTACTTCGTTGTATTGATGCAAAACATCGGGTTTTGAATTTAAGCGTTTTAACAGGCTTTCGAGACGTTTACGTGCTACTTGATAATTGTCTGCAATTACAGGATGATCTTCCTTGAATGGGAGCGAAATCTCATACTTTCCGAGTTTTTGATTAAAATGAATTTTTCCCTCTAATGGATTTTCGCTACAAGTTAGTTCTTGCTCATTAGACTTGATACCCATAGATTCGATATCCCAGAATTTGTGAAGTTCGTTTATCAAATGTTTATCGCTATCAACGACAATATTGTCAGTTTTAAGGACATGTGAAATGATAATGTTCGATGAGTGTTCATTTGTTGACGGTATTTCTACGGGACCGTTAAGTACATACCCGAATCTGGTAAGTGTAGCTACGGGGCCATAACCTTGCTCCCCCCGTACTACGTGATCTAACATGAACTGCCAAATGTAGTCCGCCCCAATCAATATGTCAACTTCAAATTCATCCATGCCGCTACCTTTATCAGCTAAAGGCAAATCTTTTATGTGGGGATATTTCAGTTTGGCTACGTCTATGGCTTGATTAGCAACCGGGCTACAAATATTGTCTACCACAAAAGCATTAATAAACACAGTTAGGTTATCTGCTCCTTCGATAGCAATTTGGATTGAATCGCACGTTTTTAATGTCCCACTAACGTTACCGAATTCTTTAATGATTACCTTTTCTGTGCTTATGGTGGGCAACTGTAACTTATCCCTTAGCCTGCGTGAAATATACGATTTCTGGGAGCAAGAGTCTAAAATAAGTCTTACAACGCATTCTTCTGTGTTACTGTCTACTCTTCTTACTTTAGCTCTTGCAGTTTGTAATAAGACAGCGGTATTTGTGGTGTTATTGCGAGACGCTAGCAAAGTACTTACCGATGGTTGTGTGGGCGGTGACTGAGGCGCGGCGACGGTTTCCTTGTAGGCTGTTTCTCTTGCTTTTGCAAAACTTGTGGAACTGTCAGCTTTTGAGCCACAAATTGCAACATGGTGCTTTCCTTGGCATTTGAAACATCTAGTATTGCTTCTGCAAAATCTGCTAACATGTCCACCACGTAAACAAACAAAGCATCTCCGTTTCTCGCGTAATGTCTGCTTCCGCGCGTCAGGATTCGAAACCGTTGTGCAGCTCGAAGAAAAATGTTTCTGCCCGCAAAATAAACAAGATGGTATTCCATCGTTTGCACTCCTTTCTCGTTTCTGGTTGTTGATTAGCAGTGTAGCTGCTGTGGATTGCTGAAAGGATGGTTTTGATCCAACTGTTTTTGTATTGGTAGCACTACCAATAGGTGCATAAGCGCACTTTTCTCGAAGTGAAATTTCTTCACCGAACGCTAATAATAGTCCTTCTAAATCCCATTCATCCGATAGTTTCCTCGAGATAAGAAGTCTTAACTCTACCGGTATTTTTGACATTATGATAGGCGTCAAGATAGTTCCGTAGCTTTCTGCAGATACACCAATTCCATTTAAGCTGCGAACAGTGCTTTCAACTTTGTCGTACATTTGACGCAATTTCTTTAAATCCGCTCCGTTTTCAGTCCTTTGTAAATCCATTAAGGCTTCAATATGTTTTGAAATAATTATTTGACGATTTCCATATCGTTTTCGCAATAAGTCTAGAGCTATTTGATAATTTTCACTTGTGAGTGGAAGACCTGATATCGTTTTAGCGGCTTCGCCAAGCAGCGATTTCTGTAAGTATTTGAATTTGTCGATAGGAGCCAAGCCTTGAGATTCATCAATTGTTGAGGAAAAACTATCCCAAAATGATGGCCATTCTGTCGGGTCTCCATTAAACACCGTTAAAGGTAATTTTGGTAGCTTCACTTTTCCTGCTGTGGCAAAACCTTGTGATTCGAAGCTGCGATTAAGTTCATGTTGCGGGGCGATCGTGTCCTTTCTGCTAACTAGATCTATTTGACATATTATGTCTTCCATTTCTTCTTCCAAATCGCTACGATCTACTATTTCTTTCTCGATATCGACTTCTTCCAAAAGATCCTCAATTTCTGTATCTAGTGTCGTGATAATCAATCGTTTTCGTTCCAGTGTGTTTTTGATTGATTCGAGTTTCGATTGTTGTTCCGGTGGAAGATTTTGACCGCGCGGAGGCAACAGCTCTCGGGCCTTCGCGACATTTTTGCGAACAACCAGGCGATGACCGTTTCGTGCCTGAATTTTCTTCTTTAATGTTTCTTTTTCAGACATTACAGCTCCCGAGTCACGGCACCAAAATGTTGGGTAGTTGGCTGAGCATCCTTGTAAGGATACACGGAAGGTCCTGCGTCCTTAGTTTCCAACATTTACGACAATTGTAAATATTAAGTCCAGCTATAATGACTAAAAGATTGCCAGAAGACGATGATAATAAAACAAACAGTTACATTTTAGACTGTGATGATTTGTGAATGAATAAATGAAATACAGCGTTTCGTTGTGATAATGCGTTCGTTCGCGATGATTTCAGGCGACAACTCTCTTTCACAACTTTAAAGATAACACCTTATACAGAAAAAATAAGAAGGCCCTTACGTAGGCGCTTGTACATAGGGTGACCAACTAAACAAATTCAAC